GTGTGTGTGTGTGTGTGTGTGTGTGTGTGTGTGTGTGTGTGTGTGTGATGAAGAGAAGGAAGAGGAGCGAGTGCGGGGAGGGTTAGGCTGGTAATGGAGCATTTGATTTCCTGTTCACTTTGGGAGCCATTGAGACACAGAGATGCAAGAGGATCTGTGATATTGAGAGTGTGCTGATAACAAAGACGGGGATTAAGGGAGATTGAACACAGCGGAGTTCCGAGCTCTTTGAAGGCTTTATTGGAAAATGTAGCTTTGGAGCTGGAAGTTGTTTAGATTAAGATTTTCTGTTATATTGGATTGTATTAGAGGAACACTTTGTCTCAGGTAGCTCTGAGAGCAGAGCATTAGTGGGCGCCTGTGTGAAAAATGTTCCCTTTCAAATCGTTATTCAAAGAGCAGCTCTTTTTGTTTTGCTTTATTAATGATAATCTATTTGTAAAGTGACTTATTTTTTCAATTAATTAATTTGAATATTCATTTTTGTGTTATCACGGGCTCCTCTTCTTAGCTTTAGTAATGAATATTGTCCTGATTACTGCAATATTATGTGTTCACTGTTTGGTGATTAGATGTGCTTGTTTGGTTCTCGGTAGTGGGTGCACATTAAAAGGCATTAATTAATTTCATGCCGCTCATAATGGATGACCCTTGACAGGGCCGCTATAAAACTAATTACACACAGATACATATTAGTTTTTTGTTTTTTTTCTTGTTCATTATCTCTCCTAAGTGCAGTCTCTCGTGAGCAATGACATCCAGCTGCTTCTCTGTTTCGCTCTGTCGCTTTGTTTCCTCTTAACTCCCCTCTTTAAACCTCCTTTGTTGCCCTTGCCAGCATGTATCATAGCTTCTGACAGAGGTTGAGGGAGAGTAAAACTGATTGCCTCGCCTCCCTTTATACTATTTGAAGGTGAAATCCCAACCAGGGTTTGGTGTCACATCCTTACATGAATATGTAATCCATAAGGGAGGCAGCAGCAGCCTACAGCTCGACTAAAGCATTTTTTTTTTTTTTTTTTCTTTGAATCTTGTCTTTTTAGGTTACCTTCTCACCAGGCAAGAAGGACAAGCCGGCTCCCCGGAGAAGCCGCTGTCAGATCTGGGTCGCTTATCCTACCTGGCATATTGGAAAAGTGTCATACTGGAGTACCTTTATAAGCACCCAGATAAACACATCAGTGTTAAAGGAATAAGCAGGGCCACTGGGATGTGTCCGCACGACATCGCCGCTACTCTCCAGCAGCTCGGCATGATTGACAGACAGGATGGCAGGTCAGTTTCCCCGAGCCGCAGTCTCCTTCAGCCCCGCGCCGCCGCTGCTTCTGTGTGCTTGTCTGACTTATCCAGGCCAGCGGGTATTTTTAACAGCGCATCCATTAATGCGGCTGAATATTGACAGAAGTAAGTCAGGTTAAGCACCCCCAAGGACACGGAGCACCTGCCTTCCCGAAGAGCTCGTCTTTGTGCTCGCTTTCGAACCACACTTCACCTTCTGTCTACCCCCGAGCTGGGGCATCACTTTGTTGTTGACATGAACTTATTGGATTATTTTTTTCTTTCTCCCTGTGACCTAGGATTGTGTTGATCAGAAGAGAGCGATTGATTCAGAGGCACACGGAGGGCCTGAGGGCTAACCCGCGTTGCAACGAGGTGGACCCCGACGCCCTGCGCTGGACGCCGTCCGCGACTCTCAACGCCGTCCTGTCTGAGGAGGAGAGGGAGGCGGAGATGGATGTGAGTCTGCTTCTTCAATCAGGAGACACTAGTTATTTGTTTACACTTGCCTGCAATGCCGTTTGTTTGATTAGCTGGAGAGTTCAAATAGAGGCCATTAATGGGGAAAGCAATATCGCTGTCAGCAGGCATCTAATGTTGTGCAAAATTGCCCTAAATCAGTTACTACATAATTGATAGTGCTGAATATTCCATGAAATGCAATCTTTCCACGGTTGCTTAACGGGAATGTTTCCTCCGTGACGGGCACGTATCCAATCAGGATGCTGCTCTTATTATCAGGAGGAAACCTGCGGTGATTCATTTGTCATGACGTTAATTCCAATCTCTTGTTTTCCCATTAGCCTCATTGCTCAGATGTTGGGAGCCGTGCGTACGCCTTTCCCCAGAAATAATGCGTCTTGTCTGTTTAATTACCAGGCGGAGCGGCTGAAGGAGCAGGCCAGTTGCTGGGAGAAGGAGGAGAGGGAGGGCTTCATGATGACTCACGGTAGCAAGCAACCTCTCACCAAGGTCCACTGTAAGGTTCCCTACAGGACCTACGAGCGCCGCCCCGCGCTGTCCTGGACCAGGCGCATCCAGCAGTTGGAGGACGTGAGTGACGACGAAGCGGATGATGATGACGACGACGACGACGACGACGACGACGACGACTCGGATGGCTCGCCACCCATCCTAACAAAAGCCCACGCAATGCTCGCAGCCAAGAGAAAGGTGACTTTTATTGTTTGTTGATATGAATCATGCCTCTTTTTGCATCACCACAAGCTATTCCCCCCTTTGGTGCGATTATCTCATTGATTATCTGGAGTTTTATTCTCGGACAAAGTGGAATTGAATGTATATCGTTGGATATTCTTCCTTCATTAGAGGCCGTGTTGTGTATTCTGGTGAGACGGAAAGGTTTGATAAATATTCATGGATTCGGTGGAGGGTTCAGTGGATTCCTCCTGTCATCTGGAGCCTCCCTGTGTGCCTGCAGCTGTAGATAATAGATTGTGTTTTCACTGCTGGTGTCGAGACTGTGCAGGCTAAACCTTGTACTATTGTCAATGGTCATGGTTAATTTACTGCCCTCCTCTGTGCTTCTTACATCTGTTTTTTCTATATGGCACTGCCCCCTTGTGCTGGAGATAATATTACAGCCAGATACATTATGTCAGGAGAACCTTTTCAACAAAAGCAGTATGGAACAACACTGGCTGTTGGAGTTTATTCAGTGCATTAGTTACAGTATTGTTTTGACATTCTTCTTGTGAAGGATATGAAAGTGTTTGAGTTGCAGGCTGCCGGTGAGATACAACTGGAGAATGTAGAATACAGACGGTGGTTTGTGCTTACTCTGCCCGTCTCATTTGTGGTTTTCCACACTGAGCAGCATTTTAGTCTCACAGTGCGGTTTTAACATTTTTACATTTAGCCCAAAAGCCTGAATGAATTTCTGCTCTATACTCATGGAGGTCATCCACCTCGTGCCCTTGTCTTCAGTCTTCTATTCTGTTTTCATCGGCTCCTCTTTTATTTGTTTTACAGAGAACCATTGTGCTCAAGAAGAGAGGGCGTAAGAGAAAGAGAATAAACAGCAGCGTAACAACAGAGACCATCTCTGAGACGACTGAGGTGCTGAACGAGCCGTTTGACAACTCGGAGGACGAGCGCCCTATGCCCCTGCTGGAGCGCACCTGCAGAATGGGCGAAGAAGAAGAAGAAGAGGAGGAGGAAGAGGAGGAGGAGGAACAAGAAGAGAAGGCACCAATTACACCAATAAAACGGCGGAGAGGTCGTCCGAGGCTGGAGAAAAATGCACGGAAAGACAATCTTGAACACTGGAATGAAGGTATTTGCATCTTGACTGTCATAAAACTACAATGTACACCATTATCTCATATTAAAAATGTTTATAGTAGATTGTTCCACGTCTCTGGCAGAAGATTAAAAGTGTGTTTCTTTTCCACGCCGTAGGGGCTGACGTCCTCTCTAAGAGACCCAGCAGACCCCGCCCAGTGAAACGGAAGAAAGGCTGGCCAAAAGGAGTGAAACGCGGCCCTCCTAAATGGAGGCTCAAGAACGAACGAAAGATGGGCTTCAAGCTCAACCTCTACACACCCCCTGAAACCCCAATGGAGGCCGAGCAGCACCACATTCACACCGAGGAAGCGAAAGAGGAGCCGGACCAGGATATCATCAGTGCTGATGAGGACAGCAAAGCCGGTAGATGCTCGGCTAGTCCAGATATAACGCTCGAGAGGCTTCTCTCTGAGCCCCCGAGTCCCGTTGACCACGGCTCCCAGAAGTCCAGCTCCCCAGAAGGATCGCCGGTAGCTTCTCCGGTGTGCTCACCGGCCGCCTCACCGGCCGCCATGTCCCCCACGCCTGAGGACATATGTGATTCCCCGGAACCGCCTGAAGACGACCAGCAAGAGCGTGAACCCGGGCAGGAGTCCCCAGCCAAAGATGTGGAGCGCAGCGCAGCGGGTGTAGCATCACTGGAGAATGACAACGCAGAGGAGGAGGAGGAGGACGAGCAGAGAACGCAAATAGAGGATCAGGATGCGGATGATGAAGATGACAGTCACAGCAAGACGGCAGCACCTGAGAGCAGCAAAGCAGACCTGGAACAGAGTTCGAAAGAAGAACCCGAATGCACCCCACCGTTTTTAGATCCAAAAGAAGACAATGACTCCGAGTTGAGTCAGCAGGTGTCTACGGTACCGTGCGATGAAGAGGAACCGGCTACAGCTGCAGAAAGCATCCAAGAGGCAGTGACAGAAATGACAGTAGCAACACCACCACCTGAAGCATTAGCAGTCGCTTCAGTAGCAGCTGTAGACTCTGATAACCTCGTAGACTCTGAGTCGGAGGAGGAGAGCGCGTCAAGTCCTTGTCCGAATCACCCGACTCCTCAGCCCGCAGAGCGGCCGACACTCAGTCCCGTGCTGAGGGAGGATCCGCCCATCTGTGCAGAGATCGACTCGGAGACAGCCCAAGCGGTTCAGTCCCTGACGCAGGAGGCCGAGAGGGAGAGCGTTTTTTGCGTGGAGAGCCAGGAGCCCTGCAGGACCCTGCAGACCTACGCTCACGTGGCCCAGAGCCCCCAGCTCACCTCGCTGGATGACTGCCCCCAGTCGGACCACAGCAGTCCCCTCTCCTCCGCTCAGTCACATCCCAGCCAGTCGGTACGCTCCGTGAACAGCCCGGCGGTCTCCATCCTGGAGAGCGGCTACACTCAGATCAGCCCCGACCACAGTGCCATCTCCGTGCCCTCGCTCCACAACATGGAGACGAGCCCCATGATGGACGTGCCGTCGGTGTCGGATCACTCGCAGCAGGTGGTGGACAGCGGCTTCAGCGATCTGGGCAGCATCGAGAGCACCACGGAGAACTACGAGAACCCCAGCAGCTACGACTCCACCATGGGGGGCAGCATCTGTGGGGCGGGCCCCTCCCAGAATAGCTGCTCCTATGGAAGCATCCCCCCCAGCGGCTTGGCCCAGAGCAGCTGCGCCGTGAGCCAGCAAATGGCCGCCGTCAACCCCGGCAGCTGCGGGATGATTCAGCAGAACAGCCTGAGCTCGCCGCCTCACTGCAACGTCAAGTCGCCGCAGGGCTGCGTCGTGGTGGAGAGGCCTCCCAGCAACAGCCAGCACAGTCAACACAGCCAGCGCAGCCAACACAGTCAACACACCACCCACAGCAGGCACGGCCCTCACAATCAGCACAGCCAACACAATCAACACGGTCCACACAATCAGCTGAGCCAGCACAGTCAACACAATCCCCACAACCAGCATAGTCACCACCACAATCACCACCTGCAGCACAATCAGCTCAGCCAGCACAATCAGCACGCTCAGCATAGCCTTCACAATCAACACAGTCAGCACAGCCAGCAGCAGCCCATGGCGCAGTGTGCCATACCCACCAACTTCACCACCACCATGCAGCTGGCAGACATACCCGAGTCTGGCAACCCAAATTTCGCCCTCTATGAGAGGATCAACCATCAGGGGGAGTACGGCAACGGGCATTATTCTCAATCGTCCGGCCTCAGTCTCGCCAAACTGCAGCAGTTCACCAACACGTTTATCGAGCACCCTCACTCGCTGCCTTTCAACCACTCGGCCTCACACCCCATCACATCTTATGCAAACACCCCGTCGCTGTCGTCTCAGCACTCCAGCCTGGTCTCCTTGTCCCAGACCCCCTCGCATCGAGTCCCCAACCCACAGGTGCAGGCCACCATGACCCCGCCCCCCAACCTCAGCTCCTCGCCGGCCATGATGCTGCAGCGCAACATGGGCATCCCGCCCTCGCAGCGGATCCAGCCCCAAATGGCCTCCAAGAGTCACATCTCCGCACGCTCCAAGTCAGCCCCGCTGTCGCACCACCAGCGACAGATGTACGCCCGGCCGCCGCAGGCCGTGCCCATGCAGGCGCCGTCCAGGACACTGGCCGCCATGCCGCGCATGAGCGTGAACATCATGCCGGCGCCGGGCTACAACGTCAACTCCATGAACATGTCCTCCCTCAACGCCATGAACGGCTACGGCATGAGCCAGCCCATGATGAACAGCGGCTACCACGGCAATCACGCCTACATGAACCAGTCACCCCAGTACTCTATGCAGATGGGCATGATGGGAACACAGCCATACCCCCAGCAGCCCATGCAGGCTCCACCACATGGCAACATGGTGTACACTCCAGCTGGCCACCATGGCTACATGAACACAGGCATGTCCAAGCAGTCCCTGAAGGGGCCGTTCATCGGGCGGTAACTCCCCAAAGGACTCCGCTGGTCCTTCTCATGTGCATTTAGCTGTTTAAAGATGCACTGATCTGGCCTTTTGCATTTCTTTTTTGGTGTCCTTTATTTCCGTTTGTTTTATTACTTAAAAACCAGCAGCAGCACTTGGAAAGAATGCAAAAATGTTCATCAACGAGTAGATTTGAAGCTAATGTTAAGTATTTTTGTTTCTCCAGATGGGAAGCCTTACATCATTACGATGAGAATCTATTTAATTAGTGTTAGTGTCTCTGATGTGTCTTTAGAGGGTTCAGAGCTCAGCGGTAGAGATTTCATCAGTGGTCTTGCAGTCGTGTAGCAGCCTCAAATGAAGCCATTTAATGTGCCTGCTACAAGTGGAGTTAGTGGCCGTTTGAACCTGTTCAGTGTACCTGTCTAACAGTGCTGACAATTAGTTTGTACTATACTCATGCCTTTGTATATTTAAATTATTGTACTTATTTTGTAAAGTGACAACTAGCATGCTTCAGTCTCTGTTAGTGACAGTGCATTGAGTAGTACTGTACAAGTGTTGTGCTTAATAGCAAGCCATTTTAAAGATATCTGGCCTTTATTAGGTTTCCCTCCACGGGGAGAAAGATAAAACTATATTTTGTTAATTCTAATAATGTAAAAAAATGTAAACTTAGTCCTGTTTTATGTTCGGTTTGAGAGGTTTTATTGCTATGTATGTATAATTCTGAAGTCTTTTGTAACAGATCTCCTTGAGGCAGCTTTCTGTTTAATAAAGCAGACTGATTTCTGTCAAAATAACAAAGCATATCTCAGTGTTTGTATTTCAAAGGGTTCAGAAGTCTGGCAGAATTTTAAAAGAACTAAATGATTATAATGATGAATAACAATAAAGAAAATATAAATTTAGTCCAAAGTTGATATTTTACATAATGCCTTTAAAGCTACATTTTCATTCCATCTGTAGATTTGTTTTCTATCTTTATAAAATGTTGGATTTATATTTTACCGAAGTGTAGAAGAATAGAGCCTGTGAATAGACCAAACTAAGCTAATGGATTGCATGTAAAACGCTACTTGTGTTTATGTTTATATTGCTCTTTTGTAGCCTTTGTACCTGTACAGAGTTGCTGGTAAGAACAGGAGGGAAATACCCGGCTATGTGCACACAAATCGGACAGAATGACATTCTTGTATTTATGACTTTTCTCCTTTTGTCAGTCACTTAAAATGCTGTACATTTTAGCATAAGAATAAATTATGATTGACCATGTACTTGATTGTTCTCCTTTTAATTTTAAATTGAAATATTAAGATTTTGAATTTGTCGTAGTCCAGGCAGCGGTTGGTATTTTAAAATAAAAAGAGGTTTAAAAAATAGGAAAGTTGACTTGGACTTGACTGCTCTGAGACTTGGCATGAAACTTTAAAGCAAAACCAATGTCTCACGGTGTTACCTGGTCCAATCTGAGAAAAGTGAGAAGAAAAAACATGGAACAACAACAGGCAGATGCTGCACGCCCACAAATAGTGTATTTAATCATTAGACCTTTGCATTAAAATATATTAGTCTCACTTAATATGAAAAAACACGATTCAACACAATTTCAAAGGCTTCACTTCAAATTCAGTGACCTGAAGTCTTGCAACTTGTGACGTGAGTCGAGACTTCGTGAGATTCACACTGGAAGACTTTACCTGGGTTTGTCTCACAGGACTTCAAATCACAAAAGACTTGACTTGGCCTGGACTTGTCTCAAGTGACTTGTGACCTGACTTGAGATCTGCTCTGATATACTGGAGACTTGACTTCCTCTTGTCCTGAATGACTTTTTATTTGGACTTGTCTCGAATGTGACTTGAGATTAACTTCATACTGTACTTGAGACTTGACTTTGACTTGTCCTGAATGACTTGAGATTGAACTTAAACTGTCTTAAATTACTTTTTACTTGACTTGGACTTGTCTCAAATGACCTGAGGGTTGGCAAGAGTTTTGTTCTTCGACTTGTCCTGACTTTTGACGTTGGACTTAAATATCCAGAAACTTTTATTCGTTCACAATGACTTGAAACCCGACTTGAATTTGTCTCCGTTGACCTGAGGCTCGACTTGGCCCCCCCGAGTGCTCCCATCAGTTGTGCTCTGTGCCCTCTTCTCTTTTCTCCAGGAGCTGCATGTCCAGCTCTCTCAGCTGTTTCAGGAAGCCCCAGTTGGGGATGATCCTCCTGCGTCTCTTCACGTGTTCGACGGCGTCGACCACCGTCATGTTTTCACAGATCATGAGGTAGGCCAGGAAGAGTGTGGCAGACCGACTCCTTCCCATCACACAGTGCACCAGCAGTTTATCTGCACACAAATGAATCACATTATCAGAGAACAGTTGGAGAGAAGGGTCAGTTCACTTCTCTACTAGTAGTGTCTAGGCAGAAAGTTTGGGTTTTCCCAATTTCATTTGAGTTCCTTAAAGAAAAGAAACATTTCCAGAAACAATGCCATTGTGTATAATCCTTAGCCGTCACTAGATACCACTAAGTCATCCCGCTGAAATGACCCTTTAACTATGTGTTGTCTTACTCTGAGGATTGCCCAATGTTTCTTCTATAAACCGGGCCGCAGAGAAGAAATACTGGCTGAGGTTAAAGGTCGTGACGTCCTCTGCTACCACTCCGTAATAGACCACGTCCATGTCGCTGTAGTAAGCAGCTCCGGTGTCCACGTTGTTCCACGTCCCCTCCGCCGCGTTCAAGATGTGCGTAATCCCCAACCTCTTCAGATTACACTTGTCCTTTGCAGTTTGCCTGCAAGAAGCCAGAATGAATATTTATTTGAATCCTCCATTATTTTATTCAGTTTGGTCATTTTATTCTTTTTTTACTCACTCGTCCCCGATGTAGACATTAGGCCAGACCTCGTTGACATGAGTGTAAGCCACACTCCCACGGTTTAGGATTTTCTCCAGCTCGTAGCCCCCAGGTGTGACATATTCATCCACTGGACTGGATTCCTTCACTGCCTCTGTAACATTTATCTTGGTTCCAGTCTTTGACTTGTGAGAAGCCATTTTCTCACTGTGGCTTCCTTTCACACATGATTTATTAGCTTAAGGGGGGAAAAGAAATAGCACACTTGCTGTTTTTTTTCCCCTTCACTTTTCTCCCTCTACAACCATGGAAAGAAAATACAGTTTTTTTTCTTTTGTTTTTCACATGCATCTCCAGAACCACTCACCAAGAGATTGAAGTCCTTCGCTTTCCTGCTTGTGAATTTTGCTTTCATCATTCTGTCAGCTTGTTTTGCGAAGCGCGCGGACCTTAAAGGCAGAACATGGTCAAGTTTAATTCTGGCAGGCTCAAGTGAGGGCACAGATTGTATAACCGCTCTGTGACGGGAATCAAATGCAGAGGATATTTTTAGGGCTGTGATGTGGCGGGCCCCTGACCTTAGCTGCCACGTTCCCTGCCTGTGGGGGAAACTTCCACCCAGCCAAGTCCCTGCCATCCACTTCTAAACACACAACTTTAATCTCCGCTGCTGGCAGGAAGCTGAGCTTACCCAAACTTTGCACTTGCCAAAGGATACCCATATTCACTGGAGTGAACAGGGCACTCTGAGCTTTTTTGCTCAGCCGTATGAGCGACTCCTTGAAATTGTGTCAATCCCTTTTAGCCTTTCTGCATATCTTCAGACGCTGCAGGAGAGAAACGCTCAAACGCTGCCTCACAACACCCGTTAAGGATGTTCTGCATTTTTCTGGAGCCTCTCGCGAGGGCCAGAAGAGAACTGAAATGTGTCAGACTGTTAGACAGACAAGGTTTTTTTCACAGGATGGCACATGTCTTTGATTCCCCCCATTATATGATATGCATGGTCCATTCAGTGATCTAAATGCGAGCCCCCAAAGTGAGAGTGTGATGATGACTGTATTGCAGAATGGCTGGATGAAGCTGCTAACATGTCAGACAGAGTTTTCACACCATCAGGCTCCTTTATTTTTCCCTCATATCTTCATGCTCTGCCATCATTCATTCTGACAGTGAAATCATTAAACCTGTGATATCCAATTCCTTTTATTTTGACAGCATCTCTCTCTCTCTCCTCTCTCTCTCTCTCTCTCTCTCTCTCTCTCTCTCTCTCTCTCTCTCTTCTCCCAGTGTGCTCTGGAGAGCATCTCTTATTAAGATGGCTTCAGCGTTTCATCTCTTTTCAAAGTCTGACCTGAATCTGTATACACACTCAGAGCCATGCTGGCATGTTTTTATCATCTTGTATCAAGCCTCTTTAGACATCGCAGTTTTAACAGTACGACGCTGGATTGCAGCAGTTAGACACAATATTTTGAGGGATTGTGAATATATAAGTGGCGCATAGTTTATTTATAGGCATGCACTGTGTTTGTGTTGTTCAAGAACTGCAGGGGCTTTGGCAGTTGCGCTATTTGTTTTAATGGCCTCTGTGATATTGATTGTGCTGTGTATGTGAGCATAGACCGGTGTTTCTATATCTTTCAGCTGCTTAACGACAAATCATGCACACTTTACATTTTTGCTGACAGTTTTTAAAATGAATGCATGAATCCTGGTACAGTTCTAGATGTATTTGATGTCATTGGAGACAAAGTCAAGTCACAAGTCTTAAGGATGAATCAATTCTACAGCTCTCTTTAACAGGCTCTTAAAACTTTCATACATTTTGTAATCCACACTGAAGATCAAGTCTATGTTTATTTTTGTTTGGCAGTTATTGTTGTGTAGTAATACGGTGCAGACCTCTCAATTGAATCTGCACTCAAACTGCATTACAATGCAATGATAACACAAAATGTCTTTTCATTATGAAACCATGGCTGGCTTGAAGGTAAAAAACATTTTCAAAAACCTAGCAGCCATGTTTAGCTGTTACATAAAGAATAGGCGAATTGTATTAAAGAAATCAAAAAAATCCTTATGGAGGAAATTCCCTTTTTCTTATTTCTCCACTTCTTCACGTTGTGGTGTTGTTTTCCTCTGCAGGGCCAAAGAAGAGTCCAAGACACAGAGTTGATTCAGAAATCCAACATTTGGAAGAATGTTTCTGTGCCTGCGAACAGCCGCCGCAGCCTCAACGAGGGTGAGTCTCTCTCTGATCATGAGGAAGGCCAGAGCTAGAGTCGCTGAGCGGCTGATTCCTCGTGCACAGTGGACGAGCACCTTACCTGCACGGACATTAGACAGAAACACTTAAGATGACAGCTTTGTTTAGATGAAGCATGCATACTGTAACACACATATAACTACCAGAATGTTTTTACGATAATTGTTCTAATGTAGGGTTGTAACAAGACAGTCAGCCCATGGTTTAATATTCTTAATATAATTAATTCAATTTAACTCAAGTTATTTGTATAGCCCAACATCACAAATTTGCTTCAGAGGGCTTTACAACCATACTGCAAACATATATAAAGAAGTGTCAAGTCTCTCCATTCATACGATTTTGGTGCAAAATGTGAAAGAAAAATACTTTTAAATGAAGAAGCAGATCTTTATCCAGATAAAACCAAGTTAAAGAAATAAAATAAATGCCTGGATGAGAATGTCTTCAAGAGGTTAAAGATCAAATGTCTGGAGTTGCCAAACAACTCAGTGTCACATTTATATATTTATTATGTTATGAAATGATATACGGTATTATTCCACCCCTAACTTAATGTGTTTCTTTTGTTTTCTGTTGCTCAAACGGACCCAATGTACCTTTCTGCTTCAGAGCAGCATGAATGAAATCAGCCGTCTCAGCGAAGAATGGGCTCAAGTCAAAATCTTTACAGTCTGGTGCTTCTACTCCGTGATACCGTATGCTGGTGTCTTCGTAGAATCGTGGCCCAGTGTCGATGTGCTGGGGGCCATCTGCAGCGTTCACCACATGCGTTATGCCCAGACCCACTAACAGGGATTTATGCTGAGCAGTAGCCCTGTAAACGACACAAGAGATGTTGCAAGGAATGGAGATTTCTCTCGCCTGGAGCCAGCTCTGTAAGCGTATGTTTGCAAATGCATCACTGGTGACTCAAATGTACAGATTTTTATATTTGTCCCATGAGTTGGCCAAATACAGGACTTGTTTGCAGCAACAGTTTCACAATCAGATCACCATATTGCAAGCGGGGGCCCTGAAGTGAGAATGTCACTTACGCATCTCCGATGTAGAGGTTGGGCCAAACCTCGTTGACAGCTCCAGTGGGGCGTCTGTTCTTCAGCAGAAGGCTGAGCAGATCGCTGGTGGGCGGTGTCTGATACTCTGGCTCCTCCTCTGCACTCATATCTGCATCTTTCACTTCAGTGTTGTTGGATAATTATCACAAATTGTATTCAGCTCAACGCTCGGTTAACAGTTAGATAATACCCCCCAAAGACGCGATGCTCCAGGATGGAAAATGAGAGACGTCATTGCTGCTGTCCTGCTAGTTTGTATTGCCTGTAGGCATTTGGAAAGGAACCATGGTAAACTCTAACCTCATTGGTGCAACTCGCTCTGTTTTCCATCCGAGCAGAGTATCAGTGTTGTTTAGAGGCTGAGCCCCGCTGGAAAGAGACAGCTGGAGATGCCCGAGCCTGGGCAGGAGCGGTGTGGACTATTTATTCCTCACATGACCGTGACAGAAGCCAGGCTGCTTGTGTTGTGACAATTTTAGCCACAGAGCCACATAGATGATTATAGTTTTTATTAGTGCTCTGAAACATGGTGAGGAAGATGCCTCACTGAGTTGGTCTAAACTGCATCATTGTTCATTTTAAATCATTTAAAGGATAATGCTGCTGTTGTTTTATCCTTTCACTTATACATTTCATAAATTCATGAAATATAAAGCCACTGTGCAGCCACTGCCTGATGATTCCATCCAGAAACTATGGAAAAACACAAAAAACATGTCGCATTTGTTGACATATTTCCTCATTACGATGGACATGGACACTGTAGTTTATTCTGGGACCACTCAGAGACTACATTTTATATTCCTGGAGAGTATCTCTGAGTCAGACCAACACCAGTGGTTGTTGACAATCTCAAGGTTCATCTAGTAGCTGAATGTTTTTGACCTTTCCATCATACTGAATGATCGTCACCAGCAGATGGGGTTTGGCATAGAATTATAGACGTTCAAATTCCCAATTTCCCAAAAATGGAATTTGTCTTACAAAGAAAAGACAATTAGAGTGTTTTTTTTGATTATGATTATTGATTACTTTAAACACAAAAGTATAATCCACATTTATGAACTGATGGATTTTATCTCAAGTCCGTCCGTTGGCACTCCAGCTCCTCGATGATCCCTGGCAGTGCAGCTTTTTGTCCAGCTCTCGGAGCTGCTCCAGGAAACCATTGTTAGGTGAGATGTTCCTGTTGGCGCTGACAGCTTTGATGGCGTCCACCAGCGTCATGTGCTCGTGGATCATCAGGTAGGCCAGAACCAAGGTGGACGAGCGGCTGAGACCCATCGCACAGTGGACAAACACCTTACCTGCCAATCAGCAGAAACCCCCCCCCCCCCCTCAACATCACTTTCTATGGATCAGTCCAGAGCTCCATGTCTGTATTTATAACCATGCAATGACTGGATTATTGTAGTGAACTTTATTCTAACTGTCTAATTTGTTACTCCTCCCTCTCTGGATTAAAAAGCATGCACATCACATAGAGGAGCACTTCTAACTCCTGACTAAAAGTTTTCAACAATGTTGCAACAAATGTTTCTACACACGGTAATCCCTGGTTCCTTATCGGGCCTGAGGATTAGGGCGCATAGGAGCGCGTAATTGAACTGTCTTGGCGTCCGTGTATTTCGGCTGGGGATTACTGTAGGCCCCGCCACACACTGGAGCCCCTGATCAGCCAGCATGTGAATGAGGAGGCCTCATCGTATTACTGTCGTGTCAGATACCGACTTCACTTTGCATAACAGGCCAGGCAGGCACAGGCCGCAAACATAATTGTGTAATTTCCATGTCCAATAAAAGTGTTGCTTACAAATTACCAGGGCAATCCATTTAAAACCAATTTCCCTGGCTAAGGTCTGAGCTTATGAGAAGATTACTATGGGGGAAAGATATTAGCTTGATATTATGTTTAGTGTTTGATTTGCATTTTAATGACTAATACAACTGGGGGCTGCTGTAATGGGAATTGACTGACAAATGTCTCTGTGCAGTAAAAAAAAAATTCTCACCCCCCCAAGCTAAAAATCATAAGAAATACCGTGAGCCCAGGGAGAGCTCCTCACCTGTGGGCGAGCTTAAAGCGTTCTTGATAAAATTGGCCGCTGGGTAAAAGAAGGGACTCAAGTTAAAGGATGGCATGTCAAAAGCTTCCACTCCATGATAAGTGATTCTGGTGTCTCTGTAGAAGCCGGGGCCCGTGTTCACGTTGAACTTCCCGTCAGCAGCGTTAAGTACGTGGGTGATGTGGTGAGCCTGAAGTGTCCTCTTGTCTTTGGCTGCATACCTAAAGGGAAAAGGCATAATTATCTGTCGGTGCAGATAAGTGAAAGAAGGGCTTGCCATTTCTATGAGCATACATTATGACCATTTTGTAATAAGGAATGCTTTTTACTCATAATGCTTATTTCTAATTATTTAAAAGTTGTCATATTCATGATTAGTAAAACATTTACTACTGCTTTATATCATTAATGCAAAAAATTAGAAGAGCGTTTGTCTTGCCAAGTTGTGGACCCAAAGCTACCTGCTTTGTTGCTATCCGAAAACGGCGCCATGAGAGCGGTGAGACGAGAGCTGATGATGACTGAGTCGGGTGGCAATTCTCTCTGGGTTCATCACTACAAACAACACTTTTTATGTCCAAGTATTCATGTGACCCATTAAATCCATAAAAATATTGCTGCTTTTACCATTTATACGTTATTTTTAATTAGTTTTTTCTCAGTTTTGTAAGCCTTTAATTGGTGCCAATGTGTATATCCTTTATCAGCATGCCTGGCCTCACATGTCTCCAATATAGATCCTGGGCTGAACCTCATCCAGATGGCCGCTGGTCCCTTTCTTTGTCCACGTCAGCCTCTGGAGCTCTGAAGCCGCGGGGGTCTCATACCTGCCGTCCTTCCCCTCAGGGCTTCCCAAGCAGCTGAAGCCTCTGGGCATGTCTGGATGCTCCGCTTTTACAACCTGTGGCATAGAGGTACCACATATAATACTCTAACAGAGTTTAAATCAGAGTTTAAGCAGAACTGGTCCCTGCTATGAAATTTGGACCGTGCCAAGTTGCAGAAAAGCCATCAAAAGGCTTTAAAATGTTTTTTTCTTTGCCTCGCTCATCTACAGTTTAAGAAAGAAAAAGCGGATACAGTTTCAGACACCATCTGATTTTCCTTTGACCGCTTAATAACTCCACTGATGACTTCTAATGGGCTTTATTGAAGACAGAGGTAACACTGAAAACTAAATACAATGGGGGATTACAAGCGAGGATCGATGAAAAGAAGATCACGTATAGAGGGCCCATCGCCTTTAAATATAGACTATAATTATGCCAATAAATGCACTCCACAGCAGCAAAGGACCACAAGAACACATAATTGTGAGATGACCTTATGAAGCTCTCATTATTTTATCCACAGTTCAGTAGCACTTAGGTGGGTTTATTTATCCCCAGAGATACAAAGAAAATGGAATTCAAGGCCTACGAACAACAGCTTTTCATTTCCTGCAGGCAAGTCCAACCAGTGCATTTACAATTTACACATCGGGCTTGTGAGGGACTTACGATATGCAAACTGTATACATTAGCATCCATTTAGGCAGCTGTGTGGTTCTGCTCCAGGCTGAGGATGTACAAACGATGTGTGCGCATTGTTATAGCAAAGGAACCGATGGCAGCTCAGCTTCTGATTTGCATTCTGCTGGTGTGCGGTGACATAATGTGACACTCAGGGTTTGGAGACTTATTGTCGTGTCCGCAGGGACGCGTCGTTGGGTCCAAATCTGTCTCGGTGACCTTTTGTTAAGCTGCCGTGGCATATAGTATAGGTGCACTCAAACATCATGACAGCTTCATGCATCCCTGCGTGGTTGCATGTGTGTCGTGTGTGTATGCAAGAAAAATCTGTGTCTGACCCAGCATATGCTCCATGGATATGGGTTTGTGAGTGTTGGAGGCAGAGTAAAGTGTGTCTTTGCACAAGTACAACATATGCCCGGAGAACCTGCAGGCTCTTCTTTCTCCTCATTGATCTATAAGTACAACCCTTTCCTCCCTCCCACAGTCAGGGCAGAGAACTGATTTCCCTGGTGCACATGTTGAGCTGCAGCGCTGCTTTCATAGCCTCCCCCCTTAGGCCAACCTGTCCTTCCTGCTCTACTTCTGTGTAATTAAAGATGCTATGTATGGGAAAGTGCCCACGGTTAACATGGAGGGCAAATAGAAATGGCTTTTTTTACCTCCTCCGGGCCTCTTCTTGGTGGTTTTATGAATTACACTTCCCTCTTTGGCCTTTTCGGATGTGGTTCGTCTGGATTTGTGAGCAAATTAATAAAAGAAGAAAGTGTGGTAATCAATCAGGCGGTGCGGTATCATCACAGTGCATCCTCGTTTATTAAAGTGCTTCATAAACATGTTCACTGCACGTCGCAAACAAAGGCATACAGTACTATAAATCCATACACTGTACAGTCTAATAAATATTTTCCAACATGGATTTCAATCTGCAACAAATCCTAACACCAAATTGCTAGCAGACACTTGCCTTGGCTGGATACGCTGCTTTTCAAAGTCTCTCTATACAAGAGCTACATGTAGGTCGACAGCACAACTGTCTATGCTCTCCTTTGCAATCTACCCTGCAACCTTTTTGCTATTTTAACATCTGAATCTCAGCCCAAAATAATTCTGGCATCAACGTCTGCATTCCTTTAAGGTTACCCGAGCTACCAGCACAGGAGGGAGGATAGGACACGGCTTTTTCACTCGCAAGAGAATTAAATCAGTGCTGCTGAGCGTAAAGCCTCGACTGTGAGATTCTCCTCCACAGTGAAATGTGTTTAAATCAACACCTATTTGGTCAAGTCAGGACTTTCTCTTTGACTTTATCTGTGGATTAGTTGGTGAATAAAACAGAAAAGCTGACACTTAAAACTGCGATATAGACATACTCGGTCTTGGCTAAAACATAAATAGTATGTCAGAAGTTAATTCTTTGCAGAACTTCCTAATAAACTGTATTTTTCTTATAACCAAATGAAATATGCATAGCTGAAACCCGTAGCCTATATTGAAATTTAACTTTTGACTAAAGCAATACAAATCATGCCGTATAATTCAGATTGTACTATGCGTGTGACACAGTGAGGTTGAGAGATAATGATATATAACAGGGAGGAGTCATTGCTGTCAAACGCTATATATATATACTGTATATATGGTTGATGCATGTGTGCACCTTTTTGTGTCTGACCTCTCTAATGTTGCAGAAGACAACACCAAACACCAAAGGAATCGAACAGTGATCTTGTTAAAGACGGATGCTGTGGATTAGTTCCCATCTTGGTTTGAATGTTGACTTGCAGAAACATGTTTTATCTTTTGAGTCATCTACAGAGTTTACAAAAAAAAGAATGCTTTGTAAAAACATTTTCCGTAAGACATTTGGTCCATTCTGCTGAAGAAAAATAAATCTTACAAGAATGAGAGGTAACTGAAAGACATAATTGTTCATAAAATCTCCTTATCATTGTCATTCATCGTTCAGTCTCCGTTTTCACATCACATTGCAATTAGTTTCCAAGACGATCTTTGTTTTTATAATCACTAAAAACATTTAAAAAACATGAAATGTCCTAAACCATGATAGAAGATAATGCAGCTTATTACAAACCAGAACCAAAATGAATTTGATTTGAATTGAGAGACAACTTTGTAATTCCTTGTTAGATCTTTTCCGCTAGTGAGGTAAACAATGTAAAGCTTGGCCTGAGGGTGGCACCAGAGGGTCGGCCATGTTGTTACTACGTTGTTACCGCTAACATGTGTTAGCGTGTGTTAACATACTACCATCATGCTTCCATGCATTTTAACAACTAGCTTACTGGAACGTTACCATGCTGTTAGCATGAAACATTTAGCCTACAAAAGCCTTCCACTATCATAACATTAATATATTAACTTGCTAATATTTAGCAGTAATGTTTCGCAAATAACTTGATGAAGGCAGTATGTGCTGAAACATTGATTCTGCATTTTGCATCTTTCCATTAACATTTAGCATGTTAATATGCATCAAACTTACTAATGAAAAGCTAACTAAGTGCGCAGCGTTCCCTGTTAATCTCAACGTACAGCTGAGTCTCACAGAAATTCAGTCATAAATTGAACCGAATTTCATGACAGTCCATTAGAAGTAATTCAGTCTGGACTGTTGGACCAACGGACTGACTGGCATCCCCCATCTCTAGACGCCACGCGGCTGTGTGGCCGAACAGTGTAAACTTCTCTTGATTACAGGATCTGACATATTTTCTTTTTTCTTGTCAGCTGCAGATCCAGATCCAACAGCAAAGCCAGGAAATTCCTGTTGGGGTAGATGGCTCTCTTCTGGATCAATTTCTGCAAAGCCTGTTTGAGCGGGAGGTGACGGTGGATCATGAGGTAGGCTAACACCAAGGTCGATGACCGGCTCATTCCCATGATGCAGTGCACCAGAACCTTCCCTGAAGAACAGAGAAGATGAAGGGAGACAGGGGTGGGGAGGGAGGGGAGGGAGGGTTAGTGAAAGGCCTCAGTCTTATTAGTATCATACATGACTGCCCGTCTCACGCTGTGGCCTTTCTTTTTACCTGCTGTGAGCTATAAATAGTGCCTACAATTCATCGCCTATGTTCGTTTAAGGTCCCTTTGCAGGCTCGGCCCGACTGTCTGTTTAATCCCAGCTCGTCCTCGGCTTGATAGCTTCTTTGAAAGGAGCCATGGTCAATTATAGATTTAAATTCTGCAAGGTAAGACCCTTATTACTACTGCTGGCTGAAAATACACTTACACACCTTTACAAGTTGTGTTACATTGTGGTGACAGCTGACACTGAAAGGACGGGACGATGAGAGAATTTGCGTCGATGGGGTTATTGAGGAATTCAAGAGTGAAATAAAACATGTGATGTGCAGGAGGTAAAAATACAAATACCATATTTTTGCCATTAATTAAAACTCACTGTGCAGAAATATGACATTTCATGTGAAAAAGAAGAGGAGTCTTACCATCAGGTGAATTCAGAGCTTTATGAATGAAATCAGCTGCAGTCTTGAAGTAAACATCCAGATCAAAGTACGTCGAGTCATCTGCTGGAATGCCACAATACACAAAGCCGTTGCCATAAAAGCTTTGGTTCCCTATGCTGCCTCGCTTGGAGTGAGCAGCGTTTAATACATGAGTTATACCTAATTTCAGCAAGGTAGTCTTGTTTTGGGCTACTGCCCTAGCAAGACAAAGAGACAGAGAGAGTTTCAAGACGTATTTGAAGGCTAAGCATCATAGCACGATATTTTTATACCAGAATAATAAACATCCGCAGGAGTTACGTAAAAGATCAGGACTGTTTAACATGACAAGTAACAGGTTTCACATGTCCCTGCAAGGCAAACTCATTTAGTCTGAAATAAAAAAAGTATACTTACACATTCCCTATGTATATGTTTGGCCAGACCTCATCAACTTGTCTGAGATGTAGTTTGCACGAGTCCAAAACCTTCTGCAGATCCTTCACACTTAGATATTCCTTTCTCTTGCCTTTTGAGTCTGACATTTTAAGTCCAAACGCCCCGTCTTGGATCGATTACTAAAGTCCAAATGTTTGTTGTATGAAAGCAGTTCCCGTCAACTCCGGCTCAGGGTGATCCGTACGAGCAGGTGTTTATCTGCTGTCACTGGACAGTTACCCAATTCAGTGCTTAACCTAGCGTGTAGTCTTACTCGTGCAGAGGGCAGAACAACAAACAGAGCAGCCCGAGCTCTGCTTTTCACACCGCCGTGGGACTCTAATTTAATAAGCCTCAAACAGAGATGAATAATTCCATAAAGCAGTAATAATTGGATGCCATTACGGACAAAATGTTTAAGTGCATTGCTTATACCGGATGACAGAAAAGTCCACTTTAAAGCAGCATTTATGGAATAGATCTACTGCAACAGCTTCATGCAGCTAGTTTACTGCTGTGGCATAAATATTTGTGAAAGCAAATTGGCTGAAAAGGGAAAAACAAAGTTAAGCTTTGCCCCTGGCTGCACATGACATCAAACAGCCCTCACGCTGCTGCAAGTGTCTCCTTTAACCCGCCTGTTATGTTGCGGGTCAAATTCACCCATTCCAGCTTTTAAATGGAAGAAAAACACAATTAACCTCCATAAAATGGAATGACCTCTTGTCATTCAGGATCGTGAACTTGTAGGTAAAATGTGGGCGCAATGATATGTTGTGAAAAGCCAGTACTGAATAAAATCAGTCGATAAATGTCTCCGGGTCATTTTGACCTGGATACATGTATTGATTGATTATTTAAAGTGCTGCTTCTGCTTATTGATGCATCTACAGTGGTGTGTGTGTGTGTGTGTGTGTGTGTGTGTGTGTGTGTGTGTGTGTGTG